ATATTTTCTTCTTATTTTGCTTCTTTTGTTTTCTATGACACACAGTGGACATGCTAACAGGCAACTACAGCGGTTTGTATCGTCTATTCAACAACTGTTGCAAGAAGTTGATAGGTGTCGTAGTTCTCCTTTAGATAGGGAAACTGCAGATTTTTTACTCCTTAGGTTAGGTGGTGCAGTTCGCCATATGCAACAAGTTCTTTCCTTTGTAGAGAGATCGGGTCAGTTTTCACCAACTGAAGTGAATGATCTGAGGAATCTCGCAAGGGACATAAGGGTAATTGAGCAGTAGCCATATCAACCCATCTTTGTGTAGTTGTTTTTATTATCTGAGGAGGATGAATCGTTGCGGAGTGACTAGTACACGACACAAAGAACCGGTGTTTAATCGACACAGCACACCCTAAAGGCAAAACCGACGTTAAAAACCACTTTAACTAATAAACTAAACTGGTGTAAATGCAATGGAAAATAAACTATGAAGTATGATCCTCTGTATATACCTACCATATACTGCAGATGAATTCATCGTCAACAGAGTGAAGGAACAGCTCGCGTGCGAAACCATACATGATGCAGCGGCAGCGAAAAAAACCTATCTAGCAAAGATAAAAACACGACAAAATCAAACTAAAAGCTAATAATTAAAGTGAAAAGTAACAAAAACGATTCTCCAGACTACAATATAAATTAAAATGAAAGCGGACAATGAAAAAACACCGGAGAGATAAAGGAAGAACACAATAGTCTCAGTAAAAATCCCCGGACTTGAGAGATCTGGGAACGACAATGACCCATCAACTCCCACACCGGGTAGGGTAGGGGAGAAAAGAAAACCAGACAAATGCATTTCGAAAAGATCATCTTACCTTATATAGCCATGGCAACGGGCATATTTCGATGATTGGATTTCATGGTATTGGTATCTTGTTTCATGGCATTTGTATTTCATTTCGTTGTATTTCGTTACATTTTATGAATTTCGTTACGTTTCGTTTTATGTCATCGAAAAGGGATTTTGCTACAGATGACGCGCCATAGAAACTAGCATCTTTGTCGTCGAGTAAGGTAATACATCTCAATTTTGATTACTATGGTTAATTTTAAAAGCTCTGGTTTCGATAAAGGAACTGGAGGAAAATCAGGAAAATTCCAGTTCGACTGTGATGGTTGCATGATTTTGTTTACGCGTCGTAGCATAAACATAACAAATTCATTTTCTTCTTCCTTATACAATCTGCCTTTTTTATACTGTTTTTCGCAGCAGAGTTATCGATTATATTACAGAGGCTAATTTTATTACACAGATCACTCAGATTTAAAGACAGAAACTCTATTATCGATTGTAATTTTGGCAACACCTGGCGAGTATTCGGTGTAAAATTATTGACAAAGTCGCTAGAACACTCTTCCATTCATTACTTTTGTTTCTGTTCCGTTAAATTTGCCCAATTTTTTTTATTAACGAACTCGATTTAACTACAAACAATGAGTTTTCAGGCAGAGTGGGAAGCTTCAATGCGATGTGGCAAAAGAGATATACGCCTTTAAAATTCTGTTAATTTTGCGGGTGTAAAAAATTCAAAAAGTATACCCATGCACCAAAAGTTTAATCGATCGTTGCGAAAACGTTATCAATTTCGAAGTAGTTTCTAAAAATATAATGAAGAGGGATTGCTCTTTCAATGTGTATCGGCAAAGGAAGATTAGCTTTGAAGACAGGGTTGTAGTCGAAGGCTCAAAAGCAGCTTCTATTAACCAATATGGCGCCGGTCCGAGGCACCCAAAAACTGGCCATGTCGATAATTTCCGAAATAGGAGGAATTAGAACCTAAAGTTACCTATTCCTTTTTTAAAGACCCCAAATCAAGTCAACTTGCCAATTTTTAGCCAATTCGGTGAGATAGTGTGGCAGCGACTTTTCAATATAGCTCGAATCTTACAGACAACTGCTCTTAAGTTCTATACTAGGTCAGATCATCGTCTCAAATCTTCAAAATGTGCGTAAAAAAACAAACAAGCAAACATCAAATGCAATATAAGGTTAAACCCGGAGTAGTCAATCGATAAAAATCAGTATCGATTTACCAATCGATAAATCGATAAAAATCGGTAAATCTGATTTGATTGATATCGATCAATCAGTAGAAATCGATGACACACTTGTTTCGTTTATCGATTTATCTAGATTTTACCGATTTCATCGATTTACATCGGAAGATATATCTATTCTTCTGTTCCTCCAAAACTGAAAACTGATTTCGTGCAAACAGTGAATTTGTTGACAATTCTGTGTTTTCACTGTCATGCCATCAAAAATAAAAATGCAAACCAGTCAATACAGAAAGTCCAGAATCTGGGAAATGAAAGAAGATAAATATACAGGGTGTCCCAAAAGTTCGTTCCTCTACTTTATAAGTCTGTATTTCAGTACGATTGGACTTGGTAAGAAAATCATTTAAACAATTGTTGTGACTCTCAGTCTAATTCACTATTTTCATACTTGTTGTGCTATCTTTTGACTCGAATATTCGATTTGTGTACTGTCGCGCCAAAGGTGCGCGTGCGCGAGTATATTTTCCAGCCTTTTTTTGTTTGTATTTTATAGCCCGAATTGCTCGAACTCCTTCCTTGTTTTTTGTGAATATCAAGAAAGATAAACACCCTTAACACAAAAACGTCCAGCTACGTGAGAGCATAAGCATGTATCTGTTATAGAAACTGCTAAAAAACTGGAAAAATCCGAATGTTGGGTGGTAAATGATCATGGCCAAATGAAGGTTTTGAAGGTAGGAAACGAGGTTGAAGACCAAAAGTCCTGTTAAAGCAGGTAAAATAGTTTTAAGAAGACTAGATGCAAAAAAGGAGACGTCTCCACAAGGAAACTCTCACATAGAGTAGTACGTAAACAAAATAAGAGCTTTCTCGGCCGCCAGCTACATGCCGCTTCACGCAAAAGTCTGGAAATTCAAGCGCCTTCTGACGCAAAACGAAGAACCCTTTGGAACCGAAAATTTGTGTAAATAAAGGTTTTTACGTGCTGTAATACCTCATGAAAGTAGAAACTCAAAAAAAAAAAAAAAAATAGGTAGTTTCTTAGTTTGAATTTTGGTGACGTTATGTGAAAACCCCTAATTGAGTTGTAATTGAGAGTCGAAGGACCAAACAATTTATTGTCACTTTTTTTTAAAAAAAGTTTAAAAAATCTTTTCCTTTGTTTAAAACCCGGTTTAAAGCCTTCTTCTGATGGTCGAAATTGGCCAGGTTTTGTTTGTAGAGGCCCAGTTTTTCACGATTTAGATCTGCCGCCCTTTCAAAATAACATCAGTTCCGCACGTAGTTAAAGTTACTTGCCGGAGTAGCCAACAGATAAAAATCGAAATCGATAGAAATCGTTAGCGATCAGGTGATTTTATCGATTGATAACGGAAAACGGTCAAATCTACCTAGGGAAATCTTTTAGCCCAAATTTCATGCATACCTTCGACTCTAGGGGATATCTGTAACTCAGGCTGGGAAATCTTTTATCTAAGGTTGTATTTCTCGAGGTACTTGCCTGAAAGAACTGCGAGTGTAATTAAACGGAACCGTTTTTGTTATTATGTACAAAAGGGTCATGGTTTTAGAGAGAATCTTGTGTCTGTAATAGTTTACACATTTCTTATTTTCATGTTTGTTGATCCGTAACGTCACGTAATTTTTAGGCTTTATACTGTAAATAAGTTCCCTTTCATTCTCTATTATTTTATTTATTTGTTTTGATTTCTTTGCTTTTTTCCCCTCGGCTTATTAGCATATTTTTGCTAGAGGTCTAACCAACCTCATTAAGCCCGAGATTAAATAAAGCTTCATTCATTCATTCGTTGTTACTCGTGGATGTGTTTTCTCAGCTGTACTTTCTAACTTATGCCAAAAAACAACAATGTCGGACGTACCATTATAAATCTTTAAAATCATGAAAAATCGATAGTACCTATTTGACACAGCAATTTAGTTTATCGATTTTCACCGATTTCCGTTATCAATCGATAAAAATCACTTGATTTCTATCGATTTTTATAGATACCGATTTTTTTCGATTGATTACTCTGGGGGTTAAATTACTCAAGCTCGTAAAAGTCATCAAGTAAGGCCAGAATCGCTTAAAGACTGTTCAACCCCCTTTACACATCCAGTAAGGCGAAGTAAGGTTACTAACGCTTGCTTATTTTTGCATGAAAACAATGACTTTTTGTCAAGCAGCGCATTTCTCAACCAAAGACCAAGTAAAAAAGCCAGCCAAGAATAACAAAAGAATCCTGATAGAAGCTGTATTTCATTTTGTAGATCCAGTGCAAAAAAACGGTTAAAAAATAATAAGATGACCCAAAACCCTGTCAGCTTCTTAGGCCTTCAGCTTCTAGTAAACAAGTCTCTACATGTTGCATAGACACCTTCTTTTTGGCGATCCTCTTCGCTAACTCTTCGCCGTTAATTCTTGTCTCTGCCTTTCTCTTCTTTCTCTTTACCGTCGCTCTTCATTTATAAGCAAGTAGGTTGAATTCAATCCGCCATTGTCTATTTCCACAACCATTTTCTTTTCGAAAGAGCTGTTTACTAGAAACTGAGCACTGCGGTCACAACATCCTTAAGCTATTCAAAGTAAACAAGTTTTTGAACGCAACCACAATGGGCATGCCATTTCTTGCACAATTTCCCGCCAAGAAAAACGCCGGTTGCACAATTGCATCGTACGATTTCCCGCCAAGAAAATATAACATACTCCTTCCCCCGACGGGAAGACACCTGATTCCCTTCCCCAACCCCCAAAGAGTGTACGGACGGGCGGAGTACGCTGACGTCAAAACCAAAATTTCGCGGATCATAAACCAGCCTGCATGGTAGCAATGCAAGCGTTTTTCAGATATCACACTCAACTACAAAAAACACATGCATTATCAATACTTTATTAATCACTGAGATATCATTTTTTCTAGAAACAACTACGAAAGCCTTTTTTTGATTTTCTTAATGCACACACACATATATAATATAAAAAGGTTTTTAAAAGTCGAAAGGAAGACCATCATCGAATCTACCATGGCTGCCAAGTCTCTCACACATATATAGTCTAAACCGTTTGCTCTTCAATAATCAAACTGAACCTAAAAGGACCAAAACATAAAGTCAGTTAATGGACGGTTTAAAGTAAATAAATTATTCCGGGGGCGCAGCAGTTTACTACTGTTTGTTACTTAAAAGTGATAACGAAATAAGAAATGCGAACTGCAGGCCAGTGACACAAGAGGTTTCCAGCTACGTAGGCAAATTATCTTCATTACTTTATTTTGATGTATTTTATAGTGATGAAATGTAAGCATCTAGCTTCTGTCCAATTGGAGAAAAATAATATATAGATTTAGCCAGGGGTAAAAGCGAAGCTCCCATGATAAATTTTAATCTAAATAAAACAATAAACTTGTATAACTTTAGAGCACATTCATGTGACTTTTGAGGGAAAGTAGTTTTAGAGAAAAATAATGTGCAAACAGTCCAAGAGTGAACCCAATCTTACATCGAATTGATAGCCTTCTATATGTACACCCAAAAGATAGCAATCATCTTCGGTCACATTTAAGAGCCCTTATGGCTCTTGAACACAGTAGATTAGGCCTGGAAAACAAATCAGGCCGTCGAATTTTTTGCGTTCGACAAGTTTGCTTTACAAAATCTTGCCAACAAATCTGGGGGTGTGTAAACCAACCTTTTATACTTTTTATACATCACATCTGAGGTGAAACAGTACTATGAGGCGCTGTTTTTAACATACAGGCCTCGGACAGAATGCAGTATTTCACAACTTTGAAATACAAATTACACTCATTCAATCTTCAGGACGATCGAAGCACGTGTGGGCTTTTAGCGAAACGGCTAAAAAAATTTCCAAAATCACCTATACGGCCAGCAGGTTGCGACCTGGGGACTGTTTGAATGAACATTTATAGAGTTACGCTTCAACATAACAAAGAATCATGTTTTTTTTTTATTTAGTGGTTTTATGACGATTTGTAATCTTCAAAAGCGTTTGATACGCGCGGCATTTTGAGTACTCCTGCAAGCGATGTTCATGAACGACTGAAAACAAATGGCACAGCGATTAAAATTGCAAGAGAGACTTCTGACAGTCAAGAAAAGAAATATAATTCGGTGAAACATATACAGAGACAACAATTTTCATTCACGAAGACAAGTATTAAAGTGTCTCTAAAAATCCTGAGTCTACAAGCTTAAAGCTTAAGTTTATGTTTAAGCCGCCTTCCAGGTGTTTGCTTTTTTCAAAGATGAACTCGAGGCAAGAAAATCGCTCAAAGCTTTCTTTTACAGCCACAATTAAAAATAAATATTCTTTGGAACGTTTTCTTTCTCTTTGGGGTGAGAAAATGTCTAAAGGCTTTTTAAAGTTCTGTAAGCTTATATCAAACCTTATTCGGTCAGATCATTGTCTCAAAGGTGCATAAACTAAATAGCCTCATAAACTCAGGGGCACCCAACGACAATTTTCGGAAAATATCTGTTCGGGAGACGATTTGAGATCTACAATTTTCGGAACATTTGTTGTAAAATTTCTTGCTTGCCTGCCTCTCCTAGGATTTTCGAACATCTAAATAATGGTATAATTTCCTATTTTTAACGGATTTTTACCCTAAAAAGGTCACCTAGAATTTTCGGGAGCCTTTTTTCTGGCTGGAATTTTCGAAAAGGTAAGTTTTGATCCCTATAGTTTTCGGATCATTAGACTTTCAGCTAGGAAATCCGAACAGATGAAAAATTTTTAGGGGATAAAAATATGCCTATATCTACCGTTTAAATACTAAAATACGTTTAACAATGCTATGTTTAAGTGGTTTTGAACTATTTTCTCGTTGGGTGCCCCTGTAAACTACGCTCGACTTCATTAAATCAGCTATAAAAAAAACAAACAAACAAACAAACATCAAATACAGTAATTACTCAGGCTTTAACCATTCAAGATGCAGCTCCTCAAAGCGATCAAGTAAGGCCAGAATCACCTAAGACTTTTCAACCCTCTTACGCATCAAGCAAGGTAAAAAGCGAAAACCATGCCATCCGAAATCGGATTTCCGAGTTTGACAAGCGACGTATTTCTCAAAAAAGAAAACCAATAAACAAACTAGCCATGAATAACAGAAGACTCTTGATAGCAGCTGAATTTCATTTTGTACATCCAGTAGAAAAAGACAGTTAGTAACATCATAAGTTGACACAAAACTCTGTCAGCTTCAGCTGTCAAAGTAAACAAGTTTCAAGATGGTGCATAAATTTTCCGCATTAACTCATCTGTCAAATTTTGACCAATCAGAGTATAAAAATTGGAAGTAGAGCGTGACCAACGCGTGAAAACAAAATAAAACAACAACGACAACAAAACATTACCCTGCAAGCAGAGGCTACATTTTCGCTTTGTGAGCTGGAGTTCGAAAAGTAGCCTCTGCCGACAACCGTTCAATTTTCTATCTTATATGCGCGAAATTTCGTCACGCGATTCGCAAGCAAAATTAATCGTCAGGCCTGTCGTCAAATGGCGCGAGTTTCGGGGAAAGAATTGCGACAGGTCTGATCTGCTGCGCAAGACTCACACAAGACTCACACAAGACTCACGCAATGCTCTAAACCGGTCAAGAACAGAAAAAACCCGTTTTTTTATTTATTCGTCCAGATCTGGACGGATTTGAACGGTTGTCGGCAGAGGCTACTTTTCACACGCCAGCTCATACACCGAAAATGTATAGCCTCTGCTCGCAGGGTAACAAAACATGGAAACCACTCAGGAGCCAAAGCTTTTAAACACTCACCTGTTGATGTTCATGGCGTTGGCCTAGATGAAATGACAACTGGAAAAGTAAAAAGAAAAAACATTGAAAAAAAAAAAAAACCGCGACCTTATCTTCAAAAAAACTTGTATTTTACTTGGTTAATTTTGAAATATGGGTTTCGATTATCAGTCAATAGCGAAGGTAAAAGGAAAAAGCGTGGACTTGGAATCCTCGCGCATCTACCGCACTTCCAGCAGCCTCTTGGCCAAAAAAGAAAATTAAAGGTCTTTTATTTAGGCTAATTTATTTGAGGCCCTCGATCTAACCCTCCTACATGCTTGCAACTGTGACTATGCAGCTCTTTAATATTTACGATTATAAGAAGGCGCAGATCCAAGAAAACTTCAAAAACTCATTAATATTTCATGAGTTCAGTAACCTATAACCTTTGCTAAAATCCGTCACGTGCATGTGTTTTAACCCTGGTAAAACACTGTCAAACTTCAAAAATGTCATCCTCATTGGTATTCTTTATATAAAAAAATACTAATAAGGATGACATTTTATTTCATTGCACGTGACCTATGAATATTAATTACCAGCACAGCAACTGACACAACAAATGGTGGGTGAATATTTAATGTCTTTCTTCCAGTAAATTTATTATTGCAAAGAAATAAACTTTGTTCTTTCACCAATTTAATCAGCCAAAAGTTCAGTGACACAGCGGTAATATTGGCTATAGCATATCCAAGCGTTGCACTCAAGACTTGCCAGTTGTAAATACGCAAAGCTCGAGTACTGGATTTTTGTTTACCGACCATTCGGTCATTCGAAACATTTCTTCAAAGAATACTTTTTCAGTGAAATAGTTGACTTAAGGGTACCATTTTCAATTAACTTCCTCTCTTCCTCGGCATTTTTAAGCTTCCGAAAAGCTGTGAAACAAGACGTTATGTCCTCTTCGGTTAGTGTCGTTCGTAGAAAACACGTGTGAGATTTGATTTTCTTACAATCTGGATCACCCTGAATACGTTATAAGAACTTGCTTAAGGTACCTGAAACATCAAAACGATGCAAACCTATTTGACGATATAATATTCACTATCCACGTGCACAATTGAAATAAGAATGTCGGAAAATTTACATTTCCGCAACAGCCCTTGTGAAATCAGGGAAATCAAGGACGAAATTACGCTTTGTTTAGGGTATATATGCACGCTCTAAAGTAGCGTTCACTTTTCTCCGCTCTCCCGAATTGAGAAGATCAGGCGGCCCACATCGTACGAAGAAGTCGTAAACAAAGTTGCTGATTGAAGCTTATAGTTCGCGAGCTTCTGTGTGTCACGTAATTCTAGTGAAGAAAAGAAAAGGAAACGACTTGTCGATGGAGTTTTCCGCAAGTTCTTAAAGTCGAGAGAACGATAGTTCGGAAGGATTCCATCTTTTCATGAGTATCTTTGGAGCAGCTTCCGACGCGACATTGCCGCCATTTCTCTCGGCCTTAGCCCTTTTGCGGTTTGAGCAATGTTTTGGTTTTGCATAAGCCAATCAGATGACAGGAAATCATATATCCAGTTCTGGCTGTGGCCCGGACTGTTTCTCAAATCTAAATCCCGTCCGGATAATAATAATAATAATAATAATAATAATAATAATAATAACAATAACTACCAACACCGTGGAAAACCCCCCTAAGCGAACGCGAAAAAAGTGGACCCGGGATGAGTATAAAGAAATTATGGCGGCATACTATACCTCCATTATCAGTCCATCAGAAACAAACACAACCGTTGAGACCTATAACATCTGCAGAAGACAAAACCCCACAAAACGGACATACCTTGATGCAAAGAAGCTTGCTAATGTAAGAAGAGTCATTGTCAAATTATCAAGAACAAGGCTTACTGATGTCGAGCTGGATGAGATCAAGGCAAGGGTCACGCAGACTGACGCAAAGGGCCCTAGTGAAGAACTACCAGAGGCACATAAAGAACAAGCCCAAAACGTCACTACCATCACAGAAGGAGGTGAACCTACAGCTAGCCAGCAAAATACAAACAGCATAAGTGTAGACGAGAAAGTGTAACAGATGAAAGCTGACATACTGACAAAATGGAAAAACTGTGAAAAACCAACCTACTGCCTCAATGCTTAGCCTCCCACAGGTAAGAACAGATCTCCATGTACGTGAAGGCAGCAATTAACACTGCAAACGAGGATCAAAATTACGGAAATCAAAAAAAAAGATAGCAAGCCATTTACACTAACTGAAATCAACCAGATTACCTATGTGACTGCTTAGATCATCACAGAGCGTCAAATTGGCCTGAGACCAGTGAGGGAACCACCCGATAAAAGAAAGCGCCCTTATGGAAAGCATGAATGGAGAACAACATCAGAAAAAAACGAAGTGATTTATCTATCCTGGTGGAGATGGAAAAGGGCGGCAAGATCAAGGAAAGAAAAGAAAAGCAAATGCTGAAACGTTATAAAGAACCCGGCAGACTTGGCAACCGCAAAGGAAGTATTTAAACAGCAAATCCAAGCAAAGGCGCAAAGAATCAGAAGATTTGAGAAAAGAGCTAAATTTTTTCGGCAGAATAAAACCTTTAGGCAAGATCATGCCAAAAAATTTTACCGTGAATTGGGCAAGAAAAGGATCCATGTGACCGAACCACCTACTCTCGACGAGGTTGAAGAGTTCTGGGCTAACATCATGGGAAAACGACAATATTCATAATGAAAATGGATGAAAAGGCTGGAGGATATGCAAATTAAAGAATTTAGAAAGCCAGCCCTGAGTTGCAATAGATGCCCTAGAGGTCACAAGTGCCATAAACAAAACAAACAATTGGAAATCGCCGGGTAAAGACAAAGTCCCCAACTTCTGGCTAAAATACCTCGAAAGCCTCCATGAGGATATGGCAAAAGCATATACGAACATCACTGAGAACCGAACAGAAATGCTGGAATGGCTAACCGATTCTCTCATGATCCTTCTACTAAAAACAGAAGAAACAAAAAACCCAAAAAAACTACAGACCTATCACACGCCTCCCAACCATGTACAAGGTACTCACATCCATCCTAGCAAACAGAACATACACATTTTTAAGCGCGCATCAGCTCCTTCCATCTGAACAGAAGGGATGTAAGAGAGAAAGCAATGGCTGCAAAGACGAACTCCTGGCTAACAAAATAATACTTGAAGACTGTAGGACCAGAAAAAAAACCTGTCTACAGACTGGACTGACTACAAGAAGGCTTTTGACAGTGTACCACATTCCTGGATCGCGAAGTGCATGAGAATTTAAATGATCTGCCCCGTAGTCACACAGTTCATCACCGCAGCCATTAAACCTTGGAAGTCCACGTTGCTCCTCAATCACTCAGGAGGATCGCTGACATCAAGACCTATTAATATTAAAAGTGGCATATTCCAAGGAGATTCCTTGTCACCACTCATATTTTGCATTGCTCTTGCACTTTTGAGCCCACTTCTGCAAGAAAGTGGTGGCCGATATGAAATCCAGGGTCAAAAAGTCAATCACCTTTTCTTCATGGATAATTTGAAAACCTACACGAAAAATGACAGCCAACAGGCTGGCTTGCTTACTGTTGTTAAGAAATTTGGATTGGAAAAGTGTGCAAAAGCAACTTTTAAAATAGGGAATCTTACGGAAACATCAGACCTACAGTTTGACACTGACACATGCATCAGAGAACTAGATCAGGAGGGGGTCTACAAAAACCTTGGGAATAAATGAAGGCGACGGATAACAGCATGCCGCTATGAAGGAGAAAGTGAGAGAAGGATACTACCGCAGAGTAATACTAGGTGCTGAAAAGTGAACTGAACGCTGCCAACAGGTTTGAAGCCATCAATACCCTAGTTGTGGCCGTCGTCACCTACAGTTTCAATATTATGAACTGGAAAATGAGTGAGGTTAAGAGGCTGGACACAAAAACACGGAAGCTACTTACCATCCACATAAGGCAACACCCGAAGGCAGACGTGGACAGACTGTACCTCCCCAGGAGAATTGAAGGAATAGGCCTGACCAAGTTAGAAACTGCGTACGAATCAACTATGGTAGGGTTGAAAACATATCTGAGAAACATTGATGATGCTCTGTTCCAATTAGTACTTCAATATGGGATCAAAAAGAAGCTTTACTCCATCAAAAAGAGGCAGAGAAATTCAGAAGAAAATTTGAGGCCCGAAACCTCGATAGGGCATCAGATGAACGGGTTACTAATTTTGCTGGGAGAGTAAAACAGAAGGTAAAGCAACAGGCCCAAGATACAGAAGTGAAGCGGTGGGAAGAAAGAGAACTACACGCACGGAAGATACCCCAAAAGAATAAGGGAGCAGATGTTGACGATTATAAAACCAACCAGTTGCTCAGAAGTACGGCACTGAAAGCTGAGACACAGGGACTGATAATTGCAGCCCAGGACCATAGCCTCCCTACCAAGTCTTATTTTGCAAGGATTGTGAAGGACGGCACCAGTCCACTGTGCTGGATATGCTACAAGCACGAAGAAACAGTAGATCACATCATATCTGGCTGTCCCGAGCTATCGAGAGAGGCACAATGAGGAAACTGCATATATCCATTGGAAGGCGTGCCAGCATTACTGTATTGAAGTCCCAGAGAGGTGCATGGTATGAACACAAGCCCGAGACGGTTACCGAAAGTGAAGAAGTCACAATTCTCTGGGATATGCAGATACAAGCGGACAGGGAACTGTCAGCGAACAAGACTGATATAGTGATCAAGGACCAAGCCAACCGGTGTTGCAAACTTATCGATGTATCGGTTCCATCCGACCGAAACACCTCAACGAAAGTCATTAAAAAGCTCTCAAAATACAAAGATCTTAAGATGGAAACCACGCGAATGTGGGGATTGACGACAGAGACTGTGCCGGTTATTGTTGGTGCACTGGGACTTATTAAAGAGGGAATGGACCAGAATTCAGGAAATATCCCTGGAGCCAGTACCATCCGTGAGCTGCAAAAGATCATCGTCCTACGAACAGCGCACATACTGAGAAGGTTTCTGTCCACCAAATAAAAAAAACGCCCCTGGTACCTCAGGACCAGGGAATGGCCCCGGTTTAGGAGAGTGTAGGAAATAATTAATAGCACTAAAAACGTTACTTTATAATAATAATAATAATAATAATAATAAATCGCTCAAACCCTCGCTTCCTGTTGTATAAACTTGTGGTGGGAATGGCGTTGTCTTAGATAGAAGATGAAATGAAAAATAGTGAGAAAATCAGTAAAAATTGGATGACTCGCTGCCGGCGCCCCTCGACAAAATGTTTGACAACTTTAGAGAGGTTAGTGTTATTTTAGGAAATTTTGGTAACTTTAAGTTGTATCATAAGGCCAAGATCATGATCAGTTTTGGAGACAGATGCCGGGGTAATGTAACTACAAAGAAAACAAACTTACAAATGCACGCATTTTCTCCTTCAAAACAGCTTGGATTTTACTTTTACTTTACATTTTATCGTTTTCATCAAAGTTTTCAGACTGTGTTAAAAATAAGTCAAAACGAGTCAAAAATAACCCTTATCGTGTGGAAATGTTAGCACAACCTTCTCGCCAAATCGACATGTATAATATATGTTGATCGATAGAGCAAAGTCAAACAGGACGGTCACAGTTCGTTTTCTGTAAAAATTAAATTTCAAAAAAATTCTTTAAAAAAATAGAAATTTGTTGATTGAAATGCTATGATGATGATGATGATAATAGTAATAAGAATAATTATAAAAGTAAATTATAATTATCATAAAAATTATCCCAGAATCCTTTGAGACAATTTTTTTGAAAGCTTTATAAATTTGACAATTTTATACGTAGAAGACTAACAGACCACAAGAAGATAACATGTGCCACAAAATATCTTCTCATGTCACATTTAGGGTGATTACCTCATCAGTCTGTGACCATTGCTGAATTAGGATTTTTTGTTGCTGTGGCGAGATTTCATTATTGGGTTAAAATAAAATAGCATATTTGAAGTTTTGGATGTGTGGAGCATTTAAAAATAACCAGTTGACGTCCGGCATTTTTACAAAGGTTAACGCGGTAATGAACATGAGCGAAACAGTCGGGAGACTAGGCCGAGGGCTGTGGAGAGTCAACTTTTCATCACACGACAGAGAAAATTTGCAGGAAAGTAATGTTCTACCTGATGATTGTTTTCATGACCAAAAGAGGGACATGACGTCATCAGTCACGTGATCAAAGCGTTTTCAATGTTTTAGTTCGTTTTTGAATTACCTTTTTCGCCATAAATTAGCAAGTTTTTTTTTTTTTTTTCCTACAAATCTTTACACTGTATTACCCCTGAGTAATTATTGTTCCATTTTCCAAGCAGAACCAAACGAAAACTCAGCCAGAAGTTTAAAAGTTGCGTAAATTTACCGATATTGTAAGTTGAAATCGAGAAGGAGACCTACTCTGGAGACTTTTGTACAATCTTTTTTCAATTTAATTGTTTGTTTGCCGAAATAAATGGTCATCATTTGTTAATAAAGGAGAACTTTAAAAAGCTAAAATGATGTATTTGGCAGCCACATTGTTTTTCTTCATCCCGAGGAGAGAGGTTATGTTGCAGCTCTTCTAACCGTAAAAGCTAAATGGTTTGCAACCCTAACCTAGCCTCGACCCAGAAGTCCTTTGGGGTTGGTTCGTCACGCATTAATTTCTCCCCCACGGACGTCTGCTAAACACAGCCGACATTTACGTTTTCGTTTGTTTGAATAAGCCAATAAGCGGTCAGTTATTGTGTCACGATCAGCCAATAACGAGCTGTGATACAACGGAAACGGCACAAGCTTTTTTAGAGGTATATTTACTCCATGCCTATGCGTGGCGGAGACTCCGAAGAAAGTTGTAAGAAGCGATTTTTTTTGTTTCTTTGCAGCTTTAATCTAGGAAAGGACCACGTTCGTGTTTGGAAAAAGCGCAGCCGACATCGCAAGGCTTATCAAATGTGCTCTGGACTTTGATGTGTCTTTCTATTCTTCAAGTGAATTATTTATTTGCACAGCTATCTTCTACCTAAGACAACTCAAACGTTTAGAAAAAATCCCAGAAATGATGCAATAAAGCTGTAGTCAGCTGTACAGTTTTTTGGGAAGTTGTTTTTAGTTTAAAATAGTCTGCTTTTCTTTGAAAGACTTCAGACAACAGTCTCCCACACGAGCGCGGAGGAGTTTTCAGCGCGGTCGAAAACAATTACTAAAAACTCTGTGTGTATTCGAAGTATTAAGAAACGACAACTTGTAAACGTGTGTAGGGAAGATTTTCAAAACCTTCTTCGAAAACAGAGGCCGTTTCCTTTTATTTTGCGAAATGTAATTTCACCAAGGTCATGGGTCGCGGACCAAGGACCACTACGCGAAAATTGGTTATAATTTTTGAAGAATCAATAAGCCCCTCTCTCGACAACACTCATATTCGCTTTGCTAATATCATTGAGCGTTACAGCAGGAATACCAATATTTGCTATCTTTACAACTTGATCTTTCATAAGATTTACCGGAGGCGAAACAACAACAACAATATGTCCAGTAGTTCCACGCACTGGGTTGCAAACAAGCGGCAAAGCTTGATAGATAAGAGATTTGCCAAATCCGTCGGGATTTTTACGACTGAACCCATCGATCTTCTTCTCTACTATTGTTTTGCAGGATAGCTTCTCTCTGATAGTTGTTTGACACTGTAATTAAAAATTTCTCGCACACCCGATCAAAAGCCTCACTGATCGTGCGAATCTGAACAAGCGGCTCGGGTTACGTTTTACAAAATCTTTAAACGGCCTGGATTGGTGAACATAAATGTCGGCTGTGTTCAGCAGACGTCCGTGGGGGGAGAAATGAATGCGTGACGAACGAACCCCAAAGGACGTCTGCGGGAGGCTAATCCTAACCTAAAACAATGACAATAATGATGAACAATGTTGTGTTAATGTTTTCCCCGACTGATGAAAATACACCTTACGAGCAGGGAGAGAATCGTACGGTCATACTGTTCAGTCGGTAGCCTAGCGATCGATAGTTCATAAATTTCTTAAACTTTCCCCAGCATGGACTAAGCCTGAATGAGTGATAATGGGTTTATTGTGAGCTTTACGTCTATCTTCAATCAGTTGAAGATTTAATTCGACGCGAAAATTAATAATAAAACCGAAAGAATCATCCTTGAAAACTGTCAATCACCATAGAGAAGGAATATATACCGCTTTCAAACTCGAGGTGGTCCAGTGGATAGAGGCTCTCACTTTTAGTTCTAACTGATTCTGTGGGTTCGGGTTCGAATCCCCTTCAAGCAAATTTTTCGTGAGCTTATTTTTTTTTTCTTTTTTTAAAAATCTCTTTTTTACTCTCTTTTTTACCTGTGTGGTGTATATAGCTAGTAACCTAATGTGGTAAATTTAAAGGAAAGTTTACAGGAATATAAAAAAAAATGCGGTATGTATCATAGCGTATCTACCGTTATCTTTAGTAATACTGGACACTGTTCGCTCAGCTCAATCGTCGATTTTCACATGTGCCTAATTTAATTTGAGACTGCTTTGAGATGCAACTAAATTCGACAGTTTCAAATTAAATTCGACATTGTCGAAAGCAAACGGAATCACCTCTTACTATAGCGGACAACCTCGAACGGTGACTTCGTCGTATATATATGCGGCACCGAGGAAAGACGAAAAAGCTAACCCTTTTTGATCAAATTATTTAAAGGTTTAAACTCGAAGCTTAATGTAGTGTAAAATAATTATAATAATTACTTTTACCGGTATGACTTGTAATAATAATAATAATAATAGTAATAATAATAATAATTAAATAATACTTTACTAAACTCTTCTCAAATTGAAAATTAAGTACAAATTTAGTATAACTATAGTTAAAAAAAGACTTCTTGGTGGTCTGGTGGTTTTCAACAGAGCAAATGTAAACAACTGTCTATAAACTAAAAAAAAAAGAAAATTTCTATGTTCATCCCAATGATAAATACAATAATTATTAAATTTTACTATTTACAGATTCAAGAATATGAAATATTAAAATATTAAAATATAATATAATAATAATAATAATAATAATAAAAATAAAGAGTGGCTGGCGTGGAATCTGAGTTCCTAGGAAAGGACGCGCTTCTGTTAACGACATTGGGAGGGCGGAGGGTTTACATATCTTACACTTAAATGACGGAAATTTTCCCACTCGAGCTCGTAATTTTGGTATATGCGTTTCAAGCGCAATATCAATACCGTTCAAACACTTACCAGTTTCTGGAACTGTCGTTGTCGACTTGATCTTCAATGGTTCCAAGTCTGGCACTAGTTAAAATAAAATAATAAGAATTCTGACTAAGCTGAGCAATGAATTATCTTGAATCCTATTCGAAAAAAGGGAGGGCTAATTTACAAATGCCTCAAGACCATGTGAATAAAAAAAAATGTCCTAATAGAAATTTGAAACAAGGTGCTATCGGAGCGTACTCTAGGGCGTAGTTGCATCACACGTATGTGAGGATATCTTTTGTGAGGCACGTGTGAGTGCCGCAATATTGTTAATTGTTAAGGGTTGGTTAAAATGGGCGAAAAAGGAGACGTGGAACTACAATGGACGTTGCGAACGCGTGAGTGAGCGGCAAAGCCGCGAGGGGCGGAGGAAACGAAGAGCTCTCTTTTCTTTCCCCGCACCTTGCTCCAGCGTCTCCTTTCGCATGCCACTCGCGCGTGACTTCTCTCGATATTCCTTAAATGGAGATATTGCTGTTAGGCTGTTAATAATAATAATAATGATGATGACTATGATGATGACGATGATGATAATAATAATAAAAGCTTTACTTATACTGGAGATATCTATTAACCTTATACAACGCTGGTCTTAACAAGATGTCCAGGATATAAATTTATAATAATATTATTCTAAATTACATTTCAAAGACGCTAAAAACTGCTAAGATAAGACTACTAAAAACCGTTAATTCAAGAACTACTAAAAGACTAATTAAAAATATTAAGAACTACTAAATATTATAAAGGAAATAAAGCGAGATGTAAAGAATCAACCATAAGAGGACACAGAAACAATCTGAGCCCCAGATGGGATTCGAACCCACGACCCTCCGTGTTCTAGATCGGATGCTCTTACCTCTGAGCTACTGAGGATTCGTTGGCGAGTAAGGTCATTTTTTGTAGGTTGGACTTGCGAACCGCATCTCGCAGTCACACAGTCCATCACAAGCAACACGTTAAGGCTTAAGGTGGCTGAACACAGTTTTGCGGGCGGTCAGCGGTAACTCGCGTGACCGCGCGTGTTTTTAATTAGACAAACATACATGGCGGCTAAAAGGCAATGGTACACAGGAGACGATTTCTCAAAATCTACTCATTAAAATTTTGTGATATTTGGCAGAATTTTTACTTTTATCGTATTTTAGATAATGAAAACTTTAAAATGGAGGTTGAACAGACGAATTTCGTGACACATTTAATAATTACGATACAATTATATTATTGATTATCTAAAAGTCCGTCTGTTAAAATTTGATCAAATAAGTTTCAAATGGTAATGATTAGTTACAGTAAGCTGTGTGCAAGATTACAGGAAAATCTAATGAGCGAATTTTATGTAAACTGAACAAAAGTGAAATTTTAAGGTTGTATTCAATCGTTCTTGTTGCCATGGAAACTACGAAAACGTCAAATTTTACCTGTCAATCAAAATCTTTCATTAGTATATTTTCCACCTGCCAAGTTTCAGCTTGTGAGCTGCAACCTTTCTCTTGCCATGATTTGGCAAATGACATACACTCACAAACTGCCAAAACTGTGTTCAGCCACCTTAACTGTATCACACAGTCACATTAATAGCAAGAAATGTCTCACTCACGAAGGAGCCTCCAACCAACCAACCTATGCCACTGATATTAGTATTATAAAGGAAATAAAGGGAGATGTAAATACTATTAAAAACACTCTGAAAAAAAATCCAACTACGTACACATGTAGTTACACTGTACATTTATGATTACTAATGTCACTGTCTCAGACTCAATTGTTTAAAAAGATTGAATTTAAAAGAGCCTATACCAGTTGTTTTCCTAAGTTCTGTAAGGAGTGAGTTCCAGTCACTTACACCAGCAATTTGGAAAGTCTTTCTTCCTGAAGAATTCTTAGATTGTGGTACGTGGAGAGTGCCTTGGTTCCGCAGAGTCCTGTTTTGGAGCTCAGCCCCACTGGTTAGGTAACCCTCTAGTTGCTTAGAGCAGTTTTGGTTGTTTACAATAATAAAAATAAAACAAATCTGAGGAATCGTCTCGTATTGTACAGTGTTAACAGCCCTAGCGTGTTCCTCATATATTGCGCACAGGTGGTTCTGTCGGCCCTCATAATAACCCTCCTGGCGTGGTTTTTTTGGTTGGGCTATCCTTGTGTGTGAGAGATGGTTGCATCGTCATCATAAAGGCTCAGTCAATTCCAAGCGTACCCATACCCCCAAAAGCATTTGTCAAGTGTTGACGTCTACTTTGGCTCTCGACATCTGAACGGATAAAATTGTTTAAACTCTCGTCTGTAGCCAAACCCGTCAATTCCAATCTTTTTGGCGAGACTTATCTCCAATTATCGAAAGAAATCGCCCCGTTTCGACCTTCTTCCAAACTTAAAAGTATCCCTGTGTTGTTTCAAAACGTTGAAAATGCTTCGCCATAATTTTGTAATATATAGATTTAGCCAGGGCTAAAAGCGAAGCTCTTTTGGTTTCTCTAAAAATCCGGGCGGCCATGCAATTTCCTTCCAAATGAAATATCGCGTTGCATTTGAGTTGCCACACCTGTTGATTGAGTTATTTTATACTGGTGTGCCTGTGGTGCGGACGGACGGGCGGTCGAGCGGACGTACGGTCTCGTGACTACCAAAATTGCTCGGATGCATGGTTACGAAATTTTCTTACCCATGGTGCTCCGCTGCGAGCGCTTCGCGCTCGAGAGAGCTCCGCCATAATGTTAAACATTGTCACACAACCCTGTCCGCTTTCATGACCGACACTTATGAGATCTCAATAACTGTTACAAATTAGAATTCCTCTAAGACTATATGAGGTTAATGGTGATTGATAACAATAAAAACGGTGAAAAAAGAGTTCTCTACTCTTTTTTGTATACCAACCATTCTTCAAAAAGAGCATAACATTCTCTTGTACTGATTAAAGATGTGTAAGGATGTGGGTAAGGAGTCAATTATGTTGAGTATGAAATCGCCTAAATGTTTTTGTTTGATGTTGGGGTAAAAATAGGTAAGGTATTGTACTTTTTTATACCTTAAAAGGAAGAGAGGGGGGTTATTTTTTAAACGAACTCAGGCGTATTAAAAATGTACCCAGCCCGCCAATAAAGAAAGAATGAAAACAAAATAAGATAAAACGAAATAGATTTTAAAGTTATGCTACTCATTGACAACACAGCGAGGAAGTTACCCAGGCCCCTGCTGTTGATGAGCCTTATCTCAAGGGGCAACTGGCAATTGCGCAGTGTCTCCTAGATGTCGTTTACGACCTGATAATAGGCGCTGGACCTGTAGACGAACGAGACCAGACTTGGCAAGAAGCATGCGCTGTAACCACGACAAGTCAAGCTAAGAAAGACGGGGAAGTCAGCCTTTTAAAAGTACCAAGTTACCAGAGAGCCCCATCGCAGATCAACAGAAACTTAAATAGATGTAGAGTGAAGATGAGAGCTTGCAGAAGTACCGGGACCGAGGTGATGTACTAGTGAAGGGTCAAGCTGTGATTTCTTTTGAGGTAAAGGGTGGGATATTGTACCGCATGTATAAACACCCTTTTGTGAATGGTGGTAAGCCTGTGAAGCAACTGATGGTTCATGTGCAGTTAAGACCTCTAATAATGGAAGTGGCTCATGGATCTATAATGGGAGGTTATTTAGGTATTAAGACGACTGAAAAGATTAAGAGTGCATTTTATTGCCCAGGTATTCAAGGTGATGTGACCCATTTCTGCAAATCATGTGATGTCTGTCAGAAGACCGTAAGCAAGGTTCCAAAGGTGCCACTACAGAAGATGCCTCTGATCGACAAACCATTTAAAGAGTGGCCACCGACCTTGTCAGACCTATCAGCCCACCAGGTAAAGAAGGGCACAGGTACATTCTGACACTTGTTGATCGCTATCCTGAAGCTGTTCCTTTGAAGACCATTGACATTGAAACCGTTGCAGAGGCGTTAGTAAATATCTTTAGTCGATTAGGTCACTTAAAATCTCTTCAGATAATCCCAGGCACACAGTTCGGCTCGGATTGCATGTGGGAAGTAACACGATTGCTGACTATCCAGCAGATCACAACCACGCCCTGCCATCCTATGTGTAATGGTCTAACCGAGAAGTTCGACGGAACAATGAAGCTTGTGTTTAAGAGATTGTGTAGTGAACAACCAAGATAGTGGCATCGCCACATAAACCCGCTGTTGTATTCTTTATCGTGAAGTCTCTCAAGAGTCCACCGGTTTTTCGCTGTTCGAGCTGTTATATGGAAGAACTGATAGAGGACCAATGACTGTACTCAAACAGCTGTGGACGAACGAAGTTGAGGAGCCTGAAGTAAATAACAGTTGTCAGTACGTTTTCGAATTGCGAGAGAAGTTAGAAGTTACCCTCAAACTCGCCCATAGTGAATTGAAGAGAGCTCAGCAGAAAGGAAAGCACTATTACGACCGGAAGTCTAAAGTGAGGAAGTTTTAACCAGGAGAGAAAGAACTCGTGCTGTTACCTGTTACCCTTTGAAGTTAGTTCAGTAGTAGGTCTCAATGACTACAAAGTGAAAGTTAAAGGCAATGAGAAAGTTTACCAAGCCAACCTACTTAAAAAAGTATTTTGAGCGAGAGGAGATTACAGTTGAAGGAGCAGTAGCTATTGGAGCAGGCGCTACAAGTACGGACGATGCTGTCGACTGCGCTGCTAACGTTGATGAAGCAGAGGGAGAGGAGGTTGATTTCTTAGAGCTCGGTAGATATGTGGCCAAGGAGTCAATCGAGGATGTTGCAACTTGACCAAATCTTACGGACGAGCAACGGACTGAATTTACGAACCTGGCTAAACAATTCACGAATTTGTTTACTAAAGCACCAGGTACCACAGACCTCGTTCAGCATATATTAAATTCACCTCAGATGAACCGGTTATAGATCAAGACCTTACCTAGTACCTTACAGCTTGAAAGACTCACTGAGTAAAGATATTGCTGACATGATCAAAATGGGAGTTATTAGAGAGTCCAGTTCACCTTATGCGTCACCTGATGTAGTAGTGAAGAAAATAAATAAATAAATAAATAAATAAAAATAAATTGTCTTTATTTTTCAAAAAGATAAAATTACATATCTTATGTTACATTTAAATAAAACAATGTTAATGGGCTAAAGTATGTCTCTAAATAAGACAACAAAAACCGCTATGTGCTGATTATCGGAAATTAAATAATAAAACTAACTGTATTTGATCCTGAGTCTATGCCAATTGCTGAACATTTGTTCTAGAAGCTTAGAGGAGACCAGCTTTATTCCAGAATTGACCTCAGCAAGGGATACTGGCAGATAACTACACCAGATGAGGACATACCGAAAACTGCGTTTGTAACATCTGACGGGTCGTACGAGTTCTTGAAGAAGCCGTTTGGAATGATTAACTCGGCGGCAACGCTGAAGTGTGCTATGAAGAGATTGATAGAAGATTTAGATGATGTCGACTTCTGCTGGGATGATGTATTGGTTCACACCCGCACGTGAGAAGAACATATTAGAGCCCTCAGAGGGCTGTTTTCGCGCCTTGTAGAAGCTGGGTTGGCTATCAGACCCACGAAGTGCCTATTGGGAGTAAACAGTGTGGATTTCCTAGGCCATCGATTGGAGCAAGGAATGATTGGTCTATATCAGGATAACGTGGAGAAGATTTAAGATGCCCCAAGGCCAAGCCAAAGAAACAGGTGTGGTCATTTATGGGTCTAGCAGGATATAACGGAGATTTCATTCCCAGCTTTGCAGCGATCGCAGCGCACTTATCTGAACTCAAACGAGAGGGCCAACCCAATAAAGTTGAGTGGGGTGAAGCACAAAAGAAAGCCTATCACTCCATCAAGTCCCACTTAACAAGTGAGCCTATTCTACGCCTCGCCGATCCAGCTGAAACCTATTTCTTACTGACGGACGCTTCCAGCAATGAAATTGGTGCAGTATTGATGCAAAGGCACGATGAGAAATTATTCGCGGTTTGTTATGGAAGCAAGAAATTGTCAAGTGCAGAGTGCAACTATTCTACAATCAAGGAGTGCTTAGCGATTGTAAGGGTTATCAAGAGATTTCATATATATATTTGTATGGTGTACCTTTTGTGCTGCAGACAGACCACGAGCCGCTGAAGTGCATGGACAGCGCAAAATATGCCAACGCACGACTCATGCGATGGGTGATGTTCCTACAAAGTTATAATTTCAAGGTGGAAGCCATCAAAGGATCGGAGAATGTTGGAGCGGATTATCTTAGTCGAGCAGAAGAGTAACTTGAGAGACACCGGACTACCCCTGTTGTATATCAGCTAAAAACTTTTTCAGTTGTATTAGAAGTTTAGGAAATTTCTTCTGAAAGGGGTATGTTACGAAAAATTGTACTGTGTGACTGGCGTGACCGTTCTAGAAGCTTCATGAGAGTTCATAGTTTGTTTATTTTAGGATCTTGTGTAAGCGTTTCTGAAACGGCATATTTTGTAATCTTTCCATGATTAGGATTTAGAAAGTTCTAGAATCTTATTGTGAGAGTACATAAGTAGGCGAGTCCAAGCGAAGAGAGTTTGTTTAGTCAAGTGTGACGGAAGCAGTGTTTATTAAAGTTGGCGGAGGCCGTGTGAGTTTATCGAGCTACGTGCTGTAGTAGAGTTTTACCTCGTGGAAACTACGTTCATTTTTGAATAAATCTTCTTGTTGCTGTTCCGACACCCTGCGTTCAGTTTGGTTTGCAAGCTACCCGTCCTCTTAAAGATTAAGCACGTAACACTAAGCTACCCGTTGGCATGCCAAATCTGTAATAAGCTGTTGTCAAAAAACACAGTTGCAAAGGATGGAAATTAATTTGTTGTTGTAAGTATAAATATATGTAAAACTGTGAAAGGTTTGAACCAAAAGTAGGTGGGGTTTGATCGTCCCGGTGAACGTAGTCCTGAATAGGACTGTTGTTGTTGACAGTGACTGACGTTTCAACAACCTGCGCGGTAGTCGTCTTTAGAGTCAAAGTGAGTTGTATCACGTCAGTGGATGGTATTACTGTCAAACTCAGAAAACCGTGAACATCAGAAAAATTTCACGAATGTTGATTGTGTACTGGCCAATCACAATAGAGTTCAGGATACGCAAGCAAACCTCAAAACCACAAATTAATTACCGTTGCTGTTTTCGGTTTAGTTATACAGGAAGTTATACAGGAAGTATTCGTGGGTCGTAACACATGGGGGGGTCAAGTGAGAATGTCTTGATGAATCCGGAGGCAGGAATCCTTTGCTGGTGTGACTCTCAATATACTTAAGAAACAAACAGTCTCAGAATGAGTCCAACAAATTTGCCTGTGATGGTGTGAAAATTTTCTAAGAAGCCAATTACGATTAGATAATACAATTCTCCTCGAAAAGGAATAATCCAGTCACGTTCTTATTACGATCGGATCACGGAATCAGATAGGGAGACCAAAAATGATGGGAGCAAACTTATTGGCATGCAATATGGTTGAGGTCTATCTTACCAACGCAGTCCAATTCACATCCTGTGTTGCAACACTTCAGGCTATTGGGGCAACTACTGTCATCAGTACAAAAGTGGTCTACTTGTTCTGGGCATTCCACTGCAGCCTCGAACACTGGACATATGCCTGGCCCTAGTTGTAATTAAAAAAGAGAAAACACCAACTAAGCCATAATGTTGATTTCCATTCACAAGAGTAGGGGGCGAACTTAGGGACTGTACAGTAATTATCAGGAGGGGGGGGGGGGGACTATGAAATGAGCTTGGAAAAGGAAATAATTATGTAGTCTCCCCCACCACCCCCATTCGCAAAAGCAGAATTAGTTCAGCCCCCGTCTTGAGTTCTTGATATTTTTACTAAATACCCCCCCCCCCAACCCACACCGAATATAATGTAATTGTAGAAGTTGTGCTGGGAAGTTTCTCCGAGAGGAGTTACAAGGTGTGGCAAACTTAATACTAGCCTAAATTGCCTTCGCAATTTCAACAATGAGAAAGGACATTACAACAAGTCTGGTGTTAAAAAGGATGTGTTACATATTGTTGAGGACTCGGATAGAGTGATGGCTAAATATAGGCGACATATCAAATTGACACTAGGTCCACAACATCTGAAGCAAGAAAAAAGGAAAGAGCAAAGAAAAAATAGGGGAGAAGAGGAAGTTTGCAGCTTGTGAAAACAGAACAAAAAGAGTATGCCTTATTTTTCCGTTCCCTGGGAGGAGCCCTCCTTGTTGAGATCTTTGAGCCGGACTTATTTGGCACTCCCCAACTGGAAACAACTGATTGTGAAACCCTTCGTTTGGTAATTACCTCAAAAACAGACAAGGCATGATTGCGCGACCTTTGCAGGGCAAACTGACCCAGGTGATTGTCTGGGACTTCTGCTCCTGAGAGTGAATGAACTTACAACTGTCTTATACGACAGTATCTAAGTACAAGTGGTTTGTTTGGGACAATCATAGATGTTGCTGCAAATTATATTTTTAGTTCAATTTGGCCTTGTAAAGGATACTAGGATTATAGAACTTTTATGGCACAAATCAATTCTTTTGCAAGGACTAAAAAATCTGGTAACATGTCTAAAATGTGATGACATTTCTTCATATATATAAACCTCACATTTTCTAAGAACATTAAGCATTGAGAGTACATTTCATGTTTTACAATGCATGTAGAATTTTTTTTACAATTTAACGCAAAGGCAATGATATAAAACGAAAGTTCGGGCCCCCTGTAATAAGAGTAATTTTAATTTGAGCCCCCCTTATCTTGACATTATTTTTACTTAATGCCCCCCCAATTGGTCCCCCCCTTCTTGATAATTATTGCACAGTTCCTTTTTTGAGACTTTCGGGGGTAAGACTACAGCAATTAAGAAAGAATTAACAAGCAGACATATGATTAAAGAAATAAAATAAAATAATAATGCTAATAATGCCAATAATAATGGGATTAATTACAAAAAATATTTTCAAGGTCGATTGCATTCTTAATAAGAAAATAAGAAAATCAGTAAAAAAAAAAAAGAGGAAAATTGAATAGCGTTCTCAATGTGTTATTGGCAAATATTTGCCATTTAAAAGTAGGGAAACACATCAATAGTCCGATTGAATGGCTCCTTCAGCAACTTCGACGTCAATATCAACATTCTTAATGTCACATGGCACTCTTCTTGTCCTAGAGCCTCTAAGACAAACCAACGCAGATCTCAAGAGTGCGAATGAGGTTCTGGTTCTGATCCATGGGATGGTTTTGGCATACTGTTCCCCTTTTTTTGACGGCAATCAGCTGTGCTAAACGGCTATGACACATCAAGTACTCCTTTCCCATTCCGCCAGTTGTGGTGAAGACCAAAGGTGTAAATGTCCCATTCTCGATGTCCAGAACTCTCCTTGAGTAGAGACGCTTTTTCTCGTTCTCACGGATGCCATAATAATAATAATACTAATAATAATATTACTAATAATAATAATAATAAAAATAATAATAATAATAATAATAATAATAAGAATAATGATAATAATAATAATAACAATAATAAAACAAAACTTTATTCATAGATTTAAAAAAATAGACTATTTACAGATTCAAGAAATATTAAAATATATACCCTATGTACATTTTTCTTGTCTACGAAAGAGAATTGTTGTAAAATGACTATCTAAAGACTACTAATAACAATTATAAAAAGCATAAAAAAGTTGATAAAAAAAATAAAAACTATTTAAAAATAATAATTCAAACTGATAAAAAGTTACTACTTAAATTCTGGCTTGCGCACTTTCCGATGTAATGTCAATGTCAGATATATTGGCTGCTCTTCTCTTGCTCCTGGTTCCTCTGAGACACAGCAGGGCTGATCGTAAGATGGCAAAGGATACTTTCGCCCTTATCCAATAATAATAATAATAATTATTATTATTATTATTTATTGATAAGAAAGCTAACTATAAAATCCTATTTACAACGACCAGTCAAGGGAAGAAAGGTTAAGGAGAAACCCAGGGACATGGAAACCTCGCTTATTTCGTTTTTCTACTCGTTACTCGTTAAGTTACTCTCACTATGAGGCCCTCCGAGTTATCCTCTTATATGTTTGCAGCTGTGATCATGAGACTCCAAAATATTTACAACTGTGACAAGGCGCAGATCCGGATAGTGTCAATCGCACGCTTTCAGCAAAAGGGTAATAAATAAATAAATAAATAAATAAATAAATAAAAATAATAATAATAATAAACAATAAAATAAAAGAAACGAAACGAAACAAAAAAACGAAAACAAAACAAAACAAAATAAAACAACAACGACAATAAAACATTACCCTGCAAGCAGAGGATACATTTTCGCTTTGTGAGCTGGAGTGCGAAAAGTAGCCTCTACCGACAACAGTTCAATTTTCTATCATACATGCGCGAAACTTGTCACGCGATTCGCAAGCAAAATTAATCGTCAGGCCTGTCGTCAAATGGCGCGAGTGTCGGGGAAAGAATTGCGACAAGTCTGATCTACTGCGCAAGACTCACGTAAGACTCACGCAATGCTCTAAACCGGTCAAGAATAGGAAAAAAACCGTTTTTTTATTTATTCGTCCAGATTTCTTGACGGATTTGAACGGTCGTCGGCAGAGGCTACTTTTCGCACCCCAGCTCATACACCGAAAATGTATAGCCTCTGCTCGCAGGGTAACAAAACATGGAAACCACTCAGGAGACAAAGCTTTTAAACACTCACTCGTTGATGTTGATGGCGTTGGCCTAGATGAAATGACAACTGGAAAAGTAAAAAGAAAATACATTAAAAAAAAAAACAACCTTATCTTCAAAAAAACTTGTATTTTACTTGGTTAATTTTGAAATATGGGCTTCGATTATCAGTCAAGAGCGAAAGTGAAAGGAGAAAGCGTGGTCTTGGAATCCTCGAGCATCTACCGCACTTCCAGCAGCCTCTTGTCCAAAAAAAAAAAAAAGTTAAAGGTCTTTTTATTTAGGCTAATTTATTTGAGGCCATCGATCTAACCCTCCTATATGCTTGCAGCTGTGACTATGCAGCTCTTTAATATTTAAAATCATAAGAAGGCGCAGATCCAAGAAAACTTCAAAAACTCATTAATAATTCATGAGCTCAATAACCTATAACGTCCGCTAAAATCCGTCACGTGCTTGTGTTTTAAACCCTGGTAAAACACTGTAAAACTTCAAAAATGTCCTCCTGATTAGTATTCTTTATATAAAACATACTAATAAGGATGACATTTTATGTCATTGCACGTGACCTATGAAAATGGATTATCAGAATATTTAATTTTCTATCAAATTAACACACGCAGTAAATTTACTATTGCAAAGAAATAAACTTTGTTCTTTCACCAATTTAATCAGCCAAAAGTTCAGTGACACAGCATATCCAAGCGTTGCACTCAAGACTTGCCAGTTGTGAACACCCAAAGCTCGAGTACTGGAATTTTTTTTGATTACCATTTGGCCATTCGAAAAAATTTTCAAAGAATACTTTTTCAGTGAAATAGTTGACTTTGGGGTACCATTTTCAATTAACTTCCTCTCCTCCTCGGCATTTTTAAGCTTCCGAAAAGCTCTGAAACAATACTTTATGTCCCCCTCGGTTAGTGTCGTTCGTAGAAATCACGTGTGAGATTTGATTTTCTTACAATCTGGATCACCCTGAATACGTTATAAGAACTTGCTTAAGGTACCTGAAACATCATCTTCTGATAAAAACTGAAGCACTTCACACAAAAAAGAAATAAACTGCCCTTATTAAAACGGTGCAAGCCTGTTTGACGATATGATATTCACTATCCCCGTGCACAATTGAAATAAAATGTCGGAAAAATTTACATTTCCGCAACAGCCCTTGTGAAATCAGGCAAATCAAGGCCAAAATTACGCTTTGTTTAGGGTATATACGCACGATCTAAGGTAGCGTTCACTTTTCTCGGCTCTCCCGAAATGAGAAGATCAGGCGGCCTACTGTTGAGGCCTCAAATGTAATAAATGACCCTAAATGTAATAAAGGTCCTAAGTGTAATAACTTTTGGCCCTAAATGTAGTAAAGGTCCTAAGTGTAATACCTTTTGGCCCTAAATGTAACAAAGGTCCTAAATGTAATAACTCTTGACCCTAAATGTAATAAAGGTCCTAAGTGTAATTTTTTCAGCTCTTTATATGCTTAGGGTCATAAGAAGATTTCACAGCGTTTGCTTTCAGCCTTGTTACAGGTTAACTGAGCGCCAGAATGTGTCTAGGGAATATCAAACATTAAATACCCCAGGCAGAACCCCTATATAGCCATTTGACTAACAACTTATTATTATTATTATTGCTATCATTATCACCGTTATTTTTATTGTCATTATTAACTGAAAAGAATGTTTAATCGAAGTGAATTGTAAATAGTCCTTTGACCGAATACTGATTAATTGTAAATAGGTTTTAACAGTTAGCATTGTTATCAATAATACCTCTTTAACGACAACTTGAAAACAGAGGTCCATGATATGAAGCAAATTTTTTAAGAACTCTTTAATGTCAAAAAGGATTGACGTATCTTAAAACTTATGTAACAAAACAAAAGAGCCTCGTTTATTATGGCAAATTTTCTCCAGAAA